GCTGGGAGGGGCCTTAGAACAGGGAATGCCAGAGCTGGGAGGGGCCTGAGAACAGGGAAGGTCAGAGCTGGGAGGGGCCTGAGAATAGGGAAGGTCAGAGCTGGGAGGGGCCTGAGAATAGGGAAGGTCAGAGCTGGGAGGGACCTTGGAGATCATCTGGTCTAAATCCCTCATATTATAGGTAGGGAAACGAGACTTACCCAAGGTCATGTGGCAGGTTAATGGTGGAGCTGGACCTAGAACCCAAGTTTCTAGACTCGCAGGCTGAGGCTCTTCCTGCTCTAGTAAATAACTTTGTCCCTGGGGTTGGGGAAGTTTCTGGGTCTGGGCCCTCCTCCACCCTGTGGCCAGGTCCCAAGAGCTCCGGCTAGGCCTGAGGCCTTCTCTGGCCCCCTCCCCACAGGGTGTTCATCGTGTTCTTGGTGGTCGTCAGCATCGTCTGGATTCCCATCATCCAGAGCGCCAACAGCGGGCAGCTCTTTGACTACATCCAGTCAGTCACCAGCTACCTGGCGCCCCCCATCACCGCCCTCTTTGTTCTGGCCATCTTCTGCCATCGGGTCACGGAGCCTGTGAGTGCCCGGTGCTGGGGAGGGGAGGAAGCCACCCTGGGTCCTACAAGACCCCTGACCTGGGAAGAGGAGGCCTTGAAGCACATGGAGAGAAACTGTCATCTCTCCTTCTGTAGAATACGGGGTGGTCGGGGTTGGTGTGGTAGAGAGTTTATCACCACTATCATAATGGCTCTCATTGAAAAGGGGCTGGATTCGGGGAAGACTTTGAATAAGACTCCGCCTTTGCCACTTACTACAGGTGAGACCTTGGGCAACTCTCTCCCCTCCTGGTCTCTGCAAAATGAGGAGGTTCCTCACAGCACTGACCCTATGACCCCATAATCCTATAATTCATAATGAAAATACAGGCCCCTTTTCTTCTCCAGGCCTCAATTTCCCCCAAAATGAGAGAGATTTTTCTAACAATAAGATCTATCCAACAGGCTTGAGAGGTCCTAAGCTCCTTGTCTCTGGAGATGTTCAGCTCTAGGCTGCCTGACTCCCTGTCAGAGCAGCTGTAAAGGGAAGCCTTCAGCTGAGAGGGAGGCTGCCGGAGATGTCCTCTGGGGTGCCTTAGCCTCGAGCTGTCAGTGTCCAGCGGCAGGGTTTAGGTGGCGGGGAGGTCGGGCTCCTTGGGAGCCACCTGAGCTCCTCAGTGGCCAGCTCCTGCCTGGGGGCCCTGCCCTTTCTCTGCAGGGAGCCTTCTGGGGCCTCATCTCTGGCCTGGTGGTGGGCGCCCTCCGCATGATCCTGGAGTTTTCCTACGGGACCCCTTTGTGTGGGGAGCCGGACACCCGGCCAGCCGTGCTGAAGGACGTGCACTACCTCTACTTTGCTCTGCTGCTCTGTGGCCTCACGACCTTCGTCATCATCGTCGTCAGCCTCTGCACACCCCCCATCCCTGAGGAGAAGGCAGGTTCCAGCCCAAGAGGGTGGGGCCGGACATCAGAGCACCAGGCCTGAAGCCTCGCTCTGCCACATGTGGTGTGGTCATGCCTAAGTGACTCAGTTTCGTGGGCCTCAGTTTCCTTCTTTGTAAAATGAGGCTCAGGCTAGATGATCTCATAGGCTCCCTTCAGCTCTAGATCTGTCAGCTTCGACTGTGGAAGAGCAGAGCTGCAGGGACCTGAAGACAGAATGGCAGAGCTGGGAGGGGCCTGAGAATAGGCAGTGTCAGGGCTGGGAGGGCCTTAGAACATGGGATGTCAGAGCTGGGAGGGGCCTGAGAACAGGGGATGTCAGGGCTGGGAGGGGCCTGAGAATGAATGACTGAATGAGCTACTGAATGAATGAAGAGGTGTTCATTAAGGACTTGTCAGAGCCAGGCAAGAGTCTGACTAGGTGCTCAGGGCTCTCTGTACTCACCACTTCCCCGTCTCCCCAGCCTCTAGCACCTTAGCAGGGAGCCTGTCCCTCCTCCCCCAGGAGGCTTTTATCCCAGTGGCCTCTGACTGGAACCCCTGGATTCTCTCACTGCAGCTTATTCCCCTGACTTGGTGGACCCGGCACCGGCACCGTAGCCCACCCAGCCTGGAAGGGCACTATCACTCCCACCCACTGAGGGACGGGAAACCAGCCTTGTCAGCCCAGGAGAGCCAAACAGAGAACAGCGACCTTAAAAAGCAGGAATCCCCAGGTGAGCTGGTGCAGGGGGGAGGCGCCAGGAGAAGCAATCAGCTCCCAGAGCCTCTCGTGGTGCTCTCGGTACCAGAAGATTTGAGATGTTTCACACTCCTTCCCTTCAAGGTTCAGCTCCAGCTTCCACAAGAAGCCTTCCTCAACCTCCCAAATGCTAGGGTTCCCTTCCCCCTTGCAATTACTTTGTATTTATTTATGTGCTTTTTTTTTTACCCATAGAATAGAAACTCCTTGAGGGCAGGAATCCTTTTCCTGTTTGTTTCTGTGTTCCTAGAACCTAGCTCAGTTCCTTGTATACAGCAGGTGCTTAATAAGCATTTGCTGCATTGAACTGGAGTCAGGAAGCCTGGGTTCTAGCTTGGCTCTGCTGTTTTGCTGCCCTGGGATGTAGGCAAGTCATTTCCATCTTTGAGTCTTAGTTTTCTTCTTTAAAATGGAGAGAATAACACTTGGATACCTGCATGAAAGTGTAGGTACCATAGCAAGTAGATACAGTGTAAAAAGGGAAATAGAACTTGAGACAGCAAGTTCACAGGAAACAAAACCCAAGAAAAGAGCTAATAATAATAATAAAAAAAACACCCTAATCTGTCTATACTTATGTAATACCCCCTCTGGTCTATCTCCTCAAGTTACAAGCTTGCAGGCTGTGTGGAGGGAGTGATGATAAATACTCCCTCTAGTTAGAGAGTACCCTATGGGTCCACACTCCTAAGCCCCTATCAGTGAACTTACCATTAATCATCAGCCAGGAGACACAGTGAGCTCAAAGCAAAAGCAATTACCAAGACAAAATCGTAAGACATGTTCTATGAAACACTCCCCCATAAACTTCAGGGCACACTCTCCCACAAATACATATGGCATCCATGGGAAAAGTGAACACAGACTTAGAGTATATTGGTAGCGAAGCATATATGTAGGGAACACATGTGGCCAGTGTAACTATTACTGTAGGACCCAATATAATTTTTCTTCTTGCGGTATCTCATGCTGAGCATGGTATCTCTGCTGAGCAGATCACTCAGCTGGACTCCCTAAGCCTGCTCCTCTCTGCGGCTCTATTCTCTACTGCCACAGCTAGTCCTCTCTTGAATCCATAGGCAGCTCTGTTCTCTGCTGCCATGTACCATGCTCTATGAAGCTGCTTCCTGGTCCCAGCTCTTTGTGTCTGTCACTCTCTCTGCTCTCTCCTAGATGCAGCATCCCTTACTGGGTAAGTAGTTCTGATACATGGCCGATGATTGGAGGAAGAAGATGAAATCCTCCCCCCTTCTCCTTCTCTAAGAGGCTCAGGGGCCATATTCCCCCCAAGTTGTTCCCTGCCTTGCATGTGTCTTGATTGCCCACAGGACTGGCAAACTCAGCTTTTTGTTTGTTTTTTTGTTTTTCTGTTTTTTGGTTTTTTGTTGTTGTTTTTTTTTTTTTGGTGAGGCAATCAGGGTTAAGTGACTTGCCTAGGGTCACACAGCTAGTAAGTATCATGTGTCTGAGGTCGGATTTGAATTCAGGTCTTCCTAAATCCAAGGCTGGTGCTCTATCCACTGCACCACCTAGCAGCTCCACCTAGCTGCCCCAAACTCAGTTTTTTGAGAGATCACTGAAGGTGTAGCCAATCTTTGACCAATCAATGGCCAGCTGTCCTCTTAATACTATGAGAAAAAAATTCCTCCACTCTTCATAAAAGGATAACAACTTGTAAACAGTTTTGCATTTCTCATTATTTCTCTTATCTGCACCCCTTCATTTCTATGATTATGTCAACTGCACACAAAAAGCACAAAGTGTGGGCAACAAGCAAAAGGAGCTAATGAGGTGAACAGAAAGAGGTCAGCTGATCCCATTTGGATCATCAAAATTTGGT